TATAGAGCTATGACAAAACAGGAATACTGTAAAGAAACATCCACAAACAAAAATCCCTCCTAACGGGCAGTCATGAACTGAGTTTTGCTTCTGAAGTGAAAATATCCAGCTACTGTAAGGAAGCCTTTAGTCCTTTACCACATGCAGGACCCCATCTGTCCTCTGGCTGAAGAGAAGTGTCATAAGTTCAGCCTTCCACTGAAAAGTTTGTGTCCTTAAACAGAATCCAGGGCTGTGGCTAGAATGATGAGTATCTCTGCAGAGGCCATGCCCATATCTAATGGTACTTGTTATGAAGCTCATGATATCATTTGAGGTTTGCTAGGGCTGAAACAAATTCCCTTCTGACATCAGAAGGAAGGCAAACAAGTGAAGATTGTTCAAAATCTTATATTCACTAAGCAAAGAAGGTTTGATAACTTCATTACCAAAACTAGAAAGAGAAGCGTATCTTCTTGCCAGAGTCTACCAGACACTTTGTGGTCAAGTCTGTGGAACTTGGCTTAATTTATTTCGGTCACTGCTGTTGCTGAAGACTAAAGACAAAGGAGGTCTCAGAAGGACTCAAAATTTCCTGATACCCACTATTTTCTGTCTTTCCAATCTTGAAAGGTAAACATAAAGACATGAGAGGCCATGCTGTTGTTCTTTGAATTGTTAACCAATCCACATAGTTCTTTTTTAAAAGAGAACTATAGTGCTAATCTGGGGAATGATAACAAGAGCAACAGAAGAGAACAGAAGTTTCGAGGCACCAAAGGTCACGCTAACGCTGCATTAACTACCTATGCTGACAATCCAGTGGCAGTTGAATAGAGACACACCAGAAAGGGTCCCAAAAGACCTCAGACATCATACAGACTACTTCCAAACTCAATAATCATGATGGAGAGAAGAAAAATACGGAATATTGTCATTTGACTTTTTACCTTTGTTAGTTGACTCTCCAGCACCAGCAGGGAGAACAGGTGTCAAAAGGCCAACACGCACCTTCATACCAGCCTCCACAATCTCAAACCGTTGCCAAACTGCTTTGGCAATCATCATCCGTCCTACAGTTTGGTATCAGAGGAAACAGCTGGCACCAACAATGGTATTAGAGGATCACAGTCATGAGTGACAATGTCAGAAGATCACAGATCAATGATCACAACAATCAGCCATGCACAGGAATGAGAGAAAGGCATCCCGCCCTGTTTCAGGAAGTACTTGCAGATCTTGGTCTCTCCCTCACTTAGTGTCACTCATCTCAAGAATAAAGACATCCAGGATGCTGGTAATAGATGAAACACGACCTCTGCACGTTTCATGCAAGGCTGAGCCATTATCAAGTTGGCAGTCTAATTAATTGCAAGCACACAAGAGGCAGCTCAGCACGGATCTCACAAGATAAGTTCTTCATCTCACCAAAAGGCTGAAAAGAACTAAAATCCAACAAAATTCAGAGAACAGGATGGTCTTACTGACAGACGTATACCAAGAAGGACTGAAAAGCATACAGTATTTCCCAAGTATTAAAACAGGCAAACTTCAATTACTTGTAAAAGATTGAACTCATTCAAAAAAGGAAAAATGCATTCCTAGCTGCATCCCATACCACGAATGCCAAGAAAAAGCCACCTCAGTGCTCTGACCATTGCTATCAGAAGGGCAACGGCAGGCAGGACACAGCTGGAAACTCAGGGGAAGTCTGGAAGAATCTGACCGTGCAGGGGTGACATGCACGCTCTTTCTAAGTGGAATCTACATGGACTTGGATAATAGCTGTTTCTAAGTTAACTCTGTGTTTAGATAAGCCTTATTAGATGAGCTAAATCAGAAGCATTTACATACAACACAGATTACAGTCTAACTACTGTTGATACTATCAATAAAAATGTACAATATCATTTTTCCAAGTATCTGACCTTACCCAAATGTAATTCAGTGTGAACTGTACATGTTTCAATGCACATTAGGCCAAAGAGAGGGGTTTAATTCAAAGCAACTTTCCAGCTGCACGTTTTAATGCTTTTTAAAGGAAGAATGATTCTCAAAGGT